CATCTACTTTCTAAAGTGTGTTCGACAAATCCTGCGCAAGCCCATTGTCCACCCAGTTCATCTCCAAACTTCAGCGCTAGGGCAGTATCACATTCATCTAAAGAAAGAGTTACCTTCTTGTTAAAGTAAGCCACAGTAACAGTGTGCCATTTTCCATCAGCGACACCACCAGGAATATTAGCCTCAACATGACTAACTTCACTACCCAATGAAAATGAAAACTGTACACCACCATTAATAATCTCCAGTGCAATAAAGTCATGTAATTCATTATATCGTCCATTATAAAGCAACAAACCATTCGGGCTCAAAGTCGCAAATTTCATTTGCAAATGCAATCGATGTCGCTGCTTCAAACTTGGAAACGTCAGAAAAGAATTCTTACTAAAACTACGACTTTTCAGCTCACATAATGGCGTGTAATGTTCTTGTCCTGTAATCGGTGAACAATCTTCGCAAACAAAACCGCCTTTATGCCTGGGTGTGCAAGTTGCTCCACTGCGACAAACATTCGGTTTGCACGGGTCTGTATTTAATTTAATTTCGCAGTTATTACCGGAGTATCCCGGTTGGCAAACGCAAGTATATCCACCTTCTTTGATTCGGCACGTGCCGTTGTTCTGACACGGTGCGCTGTAACATAAATTCACTTCGGTGTCACAAAGGTAATGCTCCCTCGATCCAGTGAAGCCCTCAGGGCATTGACAAGTAAACGTAGTCACCGGATAAATCGGCCGAAATAGTACTGTATTACTAGAAATAAATCCGGAAGCGTTGCCGAACTTCAAAACAGTTAAACACTCTTCGTAATTAAGACATGGCTCACTAACACAGAGATTATCGTCAAAGGGTAGAATCTGTACGGTTGATAATCTGGCAAGTATAGCTCGGTTGAGATAAACTCTTTCTTTCAAAAACTGCTGGGAATAGTAATCTTCTCGTGGCACATCGGGTCTTTTGACAGAAAAACTCACATTGAGAATTTTATTCTGCACATCGATATCATCCTGTATACTAAAGATGAAAATATTTTCCTTAGGGCATGGAATAATTGCTGCAAGGCCATCAACAAAGAAACTTAGCAATGGTGAAAGGAAAGCTTCTTTCGTCATATCATTCAACCTGACTGTGATTGAACTAAAGAGCATCTCTTCAGTGATGAGTTTAACGGTCAATTGCATAATGGCTTTTATATCATTAATACCATCAGTAACCGAAACCTCCATGGTGGCAATCTTTGGAACGTTTGTATTCAATTGAGGACTTAGTTGAAGTTGTCCAGTGCTTTCATTTAAAGCAACTAAATTCGCGTTGTTTCCGGATAATATCCTAAAATGAAGTTTATCTGACACATCCGCATCGTACGCCGGGATTTTACCGATCGGACCAGTTGGGAAACAATCCTTATAGTTATTGAATAAAACATGGAAGTCCTTTAGAACCGGAGCGTTGTCGTTGACATCAATGATAACCACTTCAACATGCACATCGTTTCGTAATGGCGGACTTGCAGCCCTTACAATGAGATCAAACTTTTTCCTCGAGCTTTCATAATCCAATTCAGTCATTGTAATCAACTCAGCTTTTTCGGATCCTGGACGTGTTATCAAACTGAAACTTTCTGAATCTTCTCCGCCGATGATTGAATATTGTACAATTGCATTTACACCATCGTCGGGATCTTTTGCGTAGATTTCTCCTACTGTTGATCCAATTGGAGAGTTTTCCGATATATACAAAGTGATTTTATCTGATTCAAATGTAGGTGGGGAATCATTCACGTCTTCAATGCGGATGACTACAGGAACTGTTGTGCTCAACGCTGGACTACCTCTATCAATAGCAGACGCTTCAAGATTATAAACAGCCACTGATTCCCTGTCTAACCCTTTATGTGTTCTGATGACCCCACTAGTTGGATCAATCACAAAGGAACCATCTTCCATGTCTTTTTCGCTGAGAATATAACGAATTCGTCCATTCAATCCAATATCCGCATCGGTAGCTGATACCTGCACAACACTAGTACCTAACAATGCATCTTCCAACACACTACCGCTATATTGCAGTTGTTTAAATATCGGATAATTATCATTGATATCAGTCACAGTGATTTCTACATCCGTAGTATCTGATAATGGCGGATGACCACCATCTCGAGCTGTGACAGTCAACAAATAACCCGAAACAGATTCTCTATCCAATAACTTTGTGGTTATGATAGCTCCAGTTTGTGGGTTGATGGTAAAAGGTTGCACCTCAACGGAATCTTCACCCAAGGTGTATGTAATCTTCGCGTTAATACCTACATCATTATCACTTGCTGTCACCAAGAGGACTGTGTACCCAATTTGTACATCTTCATTAACACTGACTGAATATGGCGCAGAGTCAAACACAGGCGCAAAATTATTTGCATCTGATACATTCACATACACTGTAGCAGTGTCAGTCCTACCACCGGAATCTGAAGCTGTTACTGTTAGAACGTAACGTTTTTCTTGTTTGTAGTCTAAAGGTTGCGCAACCGTGATTAATCCTCGACCATTTTGTGAAGTTATAGAAAACCTCCCTCTAGTATTACCACTGCTAATCTCATAATGAATCCTTGTATCTTCATCTATATCAGTTGCAGTGACTGATGTTACAGGTGTTCCTGGAGAATCATCTTCAGCCACAACGCAATCGTACACTTTCGGATCAAAAATCGGATTGTTATCGTTGACATCCTGCACGGTAATGATTATACTAGCACTGGCAGATTGTGGTGGATTGCCTTGGTCACTTGCAATGACCTGGAAACTGTACTTGGGATGTTCTTCTCTGTCCAATTCTTTGGTGGTGTAGATCCAGCCAGTATGCGAGTCAACAGACAAGGGAATATCTTCAGTAGACATACCCTGTGCGTCCTGGGAAGCGATAGTGTATTTTATGTCAGCGTTGGGACCTTCGTCCGCATCGTACGCTTGAACTTTAACAATGCTATAGCCGGTAGACACACTTTCAGACACGGATTCTTGAAAAAGTGATGTGTAAAATCGAGGCGCATTGTCATTGACGTCTTTTACATTTATTAAAAGTTGTGTTGTGTTACTTCTCGCTGGACTTCCGCCATCTTGTGCGCGTATGACCAATCTATACGAACGAATAGTTTCGTAATCCAATGGTTTGACGAGCGTTACATCTCCAGTGAGACTGTCGATTGTAAACTGGCTTTGGGTGTTACCCCCGATGATTGCGAAACGAATAGCTGCGTTGTTCCCTTGGTCAGCATCAGTTGCCCTTTTTAATTTTAATAAAACCGCAATTATATAAATCCTAAAAATAAAATCCAAATAATAACTTACTTGATATGTGCAACAACAGGATTTTCATTCCAATTGATGTCTTCGTTGACGGTAGCTGTGTAGGCACGTTCCGAAAACTGCGGGTAGTTATCATTATCATCAAGGACTCGAATGACAACACTCGCACTGCAAAATACCAAGCATAAACATAAACAACCAATTTTAAATGCATTTTTGTTTTTATTTACCTTGCACTTCTTCTTGCGCTAGCTGGTGTGGCTTGATCAGTCGCAGTAACAATCAACGTGTAAACCTCAGTTGTCTCTCTATCCAAATTGGTCCGAGTCGTAATCACTCCAGTCTTGGCATCGATTTTAAACGCGTTATTATCTTCTTCGGCAGTACTAATCCCACCTCCATTAACACTCTGCACAGCATACTCCACTTCCGCATTTTTCCCAATATCCTGATCAGTTGCTTTCAGGGTCAACACGGTGCTTCCAAAACTAAC